TAGACTTGGATCATTTGACTTACCTCACATTGCCAAGAGAGAGAGAGAGAGAGAGAGAGAGAGAGAGAGAGAGAGAGAGAGAGAGAGAGAGAGAGAGAGAGAGAGAGAGAGAGAGAGAGAGAGAGAGAGAGAGAGAGAGAGAGAGAGAGAGAGAGAGAGGTTAGAGGAATCACTGAATGTGCAGAGGGGAAAGGTTTGTTATTCAAGAGTTCATCTTCTGGACTAGACATATGTAGCTTTATACGTTTTCTCTCCCAGTATGTTCTGTATGTCTATAGTGACCTGAGTCTGCCAGCCAGGACAGAACATTCATATAAAGAGCTCTATACTGACACTAGCTGGGTGTAAACAGTACACCAGGCTGAACGTTGAATTCCAAAGACAGTGAATAGGTATAAGCCTACTTTTCCTGTAAAACCAATATGATATCTATTTAATACCATATTTCAACACAAATTAAATAACCAAAAATAGATTTCTATCCAATGGAACGGTATTTGTGATTCAAAGGCGATGACTTGGGTCTTTTCAGCATAAATGGTGGATTGAAGACAAATTCTCCAGGTCATCAGAGCCTGTAGCTCTGACCCTCCAACTCACTTTCAGGACCTTCCAGAATGTACATTCTCTCTCTACAGGTCAGTGTGTTAGAATGTCTGTGGAAGACACCAACATTCCACAATTGTCTAGTCCACTGACTTCTCTGGAAGATTCTGCTCAGAACATTCTAATGTTGGAGGATTCTAACATTTCCGGGACATTAATCTAATTGGTCAGAGATGTTTAGGTTCTTTATTACCCAATTCTCATATTATTCAATTTACATGAGTAGCCTATGGCCTACAATAGAAGCTCTAATATGTGTCTTTTTTTCTAGCTACAGTCATCTGCTACAGTCTACAGTCCTTGAGGGCCACAGTCTTGCTGGGTTTCCTCTCTCCCTGACACTAAACTGATTAATTAAATGTGATGTGGCTCTCAACAAATTGATCTGTGCACCCCTGCTCTCACTCCCATGTCATGTGTCTAATATATATGTGTGCAGTTACATGGCCTATGTTCACATCTCTCTGGGCTCTCCAGGGCTACTGTTGCTGGGTGTCTGTCTCCATCTTCCAGTAATGAGCCTGGCCTGTCCGACTGCTCCTTCCTACCAAACAGTCATCCATCTTAACAGTGATGTCATCAAACGGGGACCCTGCCAATCAAACATGAGCTCAAAGCGTGTGTTGACAGATTCCATTCCATCTCCCTCCTCCTTACCCTCAGAATCTTGACCAAGGGGGAGTAGCAGATTGAGGTGTAAACACTGGGGTTTTTATGGTTGTCTTTTGAAGTGTGAGGCAGAGAGAGGGTACAGTTGTGTTGTGTTGGTTCCTGGCTAGACTGAGTAAAAGAGAGAGACAGAGGGAGAGAGGAGAGAGAGAGTGGTGAGAGAGGGGGGAGATGGGGGTGAGAAGGGGAGAGAAAGAGAGAGCAAGAGAGAGAGAGAGAGAGAAGAGAGAGAGAGAGAGAGAGACAGAGAGAGCGAGAGAGAGAGAGAGAGAGAGAGAGAGAGAGAGAGAGAGAGAGAGAGAGAGAGAGAGAGAGAGAGAGAGAGAGAGAGAGGTGACAGTACAGTAGTAAAAGAGGATTGATAATGGTAGGCTGCTAAAGAGCACGTTCTAGTGGTGTAACAGAGGACTAACATGTTGGAGCTGACCAAGCCCAATAGATCTCCAAAGAACCACCAATCCAATGTTTTGGTCAATGTTTTTAGACATGGCTCTCCCAGTTTCCAGTTTACTCATCTGAGGAGCACAGAGACACACACCAATGTCCTTCAACCTCTCAGAGCCCTGCAAACACTCAGAGCCCTGTAACCACGGAGTTACTGTCCCATCCTGCTGGCTGTATCCATCACACTGTGTGGCTGCCATGGTAACCAGGATGAGTGTAATGCCATGGAGGTACACTATACTGTCTATACAAAAGTATGTGGACACCCCTTCAAATTAGTGGATTTGGTTATTTCAGCCACACCCATTGCTGACAGGTGTATAAAATCGACCACACAGCCATGCAATCTCCATATAGAAACATTAGCAGTAGAATGGCCTTACTGAAGAGCTCAGTGACTTTCAACGTGGCACTGTCATAGGATGCCATCTTTCCAACAAGACAGTTCGTCAAATTTCTGCCCTGCTAGAGCTTCCCCGGTCAACTGTAAATGCTGTTAGTGTGAAGTGGAAACGTCTAGGAGCAACAACGGCTCAGCCACAAAGTGCTAGGCCACACAAGCTCACAGAACGGGACCGGCGAGTGCTGAAGCGCGTAGCGCGTAAAAATCGTCTGTCATCGGTTGCAATACTCACTACCGAGTTCCAAACTGCCTCTGGAAGCAACGTCAGCACAAGAACTGTTCGTCGGGAGCTTCATGAAATGGGTTTCCATGGCCGAACAGCGGCACACAAGCCTAAGATCACCATGCGCAATGCCAAGGGTCGGCTGGAGTGGTGTAAAGGTCTCCGCCATTGGATTCTGGAGCAGTGGAAACGCGTTCTCTGGAGTGATGAATCACGCTTCACCATCTGGCAGTCTGACGGATAAATCTGGGTTTGGCGGATGCCAGGAGAACGCTATCGGCCCCAATGCATAGTGCCAACTGTACAGTTTGGTGGAGGAGGAATAATGGTCTGGGGATGTTTTTCATGGTTCGGGCTAGGCCCTGTAGTTCCAGTGAAGGGAAATCTTAAAGCTACAGCATACAATGACATTCTAGACAATTATGTGCTTCCAACTTTGTGGCATCAGTTTGGGGAAGGCCCTTTCCTGTTTCAGCATGACAATGCCCCTGTGCACAAAGCGAGGTCCATACAGAAATGGTTTGTTGAGATCGGTGTGGAAGAACTTGACTGGCCTACACAGAGCCCTGACCTCAACCCCATCGAACACCTTTGGGATGAATTGGAATGCCGACTGCGAGCCAGGCCTAATCGCCCAAATTCAGTGCCCGACCTCACTAATGTTCTTGTGGCTGAATGGAAGCAAGTCCCCGCAGCAATGTTCCAACATCTAGTGGAAAGTCTTCTCAGAAGAGTGGAGGCTGTTATAGCAGCAAAGGGGGGACCAACTTCATATTAATGCCCATGATTTTGGAATGAGACGTTCGACGAGCAGGTGTCCACATACTTTTGGTCATGTAGTGTATGTAGGACAGTGGTGTGCTGTGACCAGGGTAAGTTGAAGCAAGACAAATGAACCAAGGTGGGAGTAACATACAATAAGAGCACCACACATATCACCAAAACTACACATGCACAATTTTGATAAGAGACACGAGGACAGGTATAGTCTTGTGGGTCTGTCCTTCCAAATCTTGTCTCCTTGACAACATTTACATTTTAGTCATTTAGCAGAAGCTATTGTCCAGAGCAATTAGGGTTAAGTGCATTGCTCAAGGGCATATCAACAGATTTTTCACCTAGTCGGCTCGAATCAGTGTTCTTTCAGCTACTGGCCTAATGCTCTTAACCACTACGCTACCTGCCGCCAACGTAAGAAGCCTGGGCTCCCGAGGCTAGGACAGGTACAACACAGTAGAACAGTGAGTCATGGAAGTTGCTATAGCTCTCTGTGTCCACTAATTGAAACCTAGTTCTGAGAGGTCTATTCAGTCCTGATCACAACAATACCCAAATTGACCACCAGAGAGCATTAGTGTCACAGCAAAGAGCAAAGGCAGCTAGTAGAAGCTACCCGTAGACCTTACCACTTTAGCCACAGATCTGATTACCCTGATCCTAACTTTACCATTAGGGGGGTGAAGTAATATATGAATCTATGTCAGTGGTTTAAAGCAACTTCAACTTACTCCTTTATTTCTATCCAGGGGGCAGAGGTCAACCTCTTAATCAGAAACATATTTCTGCTAGTTAGATCATTTGGAACATGTTGTATTACTTTTAGACAATGCATTTGGTCAATGTGAGAATTTGGCTGGTTAGAGAGGAGGATTCAAGCCACTTTCCACTGCCTAGAAATTCCTGCAGGAGAACTGTTTTGCTGTCTGCTGCGTAACCAGCGTAACCCAGCCTTTTCCCAGGGCATCTACTGATAAGAACGCTCTAATAACACACATTACTGGAATTCCCCAAACTTTACGCACTAGAGAGAGAGAGAGAGAGAGAGAGAGAGAGGGGACATCATACACAATAATGAGACAATTCTGGGCCACTCCTCTACGTAGCAGAAATCATGTCTCTGTAGAAAACATCTGTATGCATTCAGATTCCTCAACTGTAGGCCTACACACACACACACACACGCACACACACACTAGGCTACTCACTGGCGAAAACACTGTTTGTTGCTACGGGTTACTAATGGATACTCAGTTAGTTAGTTGCATCACAATCCAAAGCAAGCTGTTTTGTTCTTCCCTCTCTACCAAGTATGCGCGTGTGTGCCTGAGCCATAATAAATGCATGATGTGTGAGTGTGTGTGTGTGTGTGTGACATAAATGTAGAAATAAACTACTGGGACTCAGGAACATCTGGACACTGGCCAGGGGCCAAAATGTATGTGTTCATTAATTATAGATGATTACTGGCATACAATCTACTAATTACAACAGACAGTCAATAACTAGGCCACTCAGTGTTATTGGAGAGAGAAAAGGTAAGCCTTCTATTTGTACATAACCCCTAAGTACTGACACCGTGGCTGGGTCATGGGCCAGGGCATTGGGCAGGTACAGTTTATGGCTGTATGGGCTATAGGTTGTAGACCTATGACAATTTGTCCTCTAGTGAATACTGATTATCTGGTTCATCCCTAGCACGTCCAACGGGGGAAAACTCGTTGCAGGATGCTTACAGGAGTGCAGGAGAAAGTAACGATTTAATATGTTTTATTCCCTTCCATCATACCACTTGGTGGACTAGGGATTCCTATTGAATCCTATTGCAGTGTGGGAGGAGCGGAAGAGGAGGAAGTCGTTCTACAGCAGATTGGATAGTGTTGCTTCAGATTCAGTTGTGAAAACGAAGCTGCACGCGACCCGCGCCGTGTTTTCAGAGAGAGCGGAGAGCGTCGGACGTTTCCGAGCGCAGAAAGAAGGAGCGGTTTTGACTGAGGACGGATGTTTTGCGGAGCGGCGTTTTAAACTGCCTGTACGGACTAAACTCTTGAGTTCACCGGTGTGAAAGCGAGCAGTATGCATTCGGACTGCAGGCTGCTATGGGCAGAGCGGTAATGGTGGGTAGGGGACCGAGAGAGGCCGGGCTTTTCTTCCTGTCGACTCTCATCATCCTCCTCACCGCCAGAAGCAGTCGAGCGCAGAAAGGTTGGTGTTGTTCGGTGCCACTTAATGTAACCATGTGTAATAAAAGTGCTATAAACTAGATACATATAGACATTACTACATTCGCTTTGACGCAGTGTTTCTTTTGAAGTCTACTTTGTTGCACTCCGGATAGCCAACGGCAGAGATTGTTATGCAGCTGCGCCTCAGCAAGGTTGAGCAGAGCAGATAGCCTACCTTACATGGCTCGACTGCTACATTCTCTCCCCAATCCCAAATATGTAGCCAGAATCACAGACTGCAAAAGTTCCTCACTTCTCCAAGTAGTTTGGTAGTCATTGAAATTGGTTATTTAAGTGTATAGCATAGATATAAAGGGCAGACCGGGCAAAATAAACAATAGTCATTTGTGGGCAGGATTTCAGGTGATGAAAGAGATAGCGATAACACCATTTGGTAGAATTCTAACCGAGGGGGAGGGGTTGAAGTGGTAGAGGGGTAAACAGCCTCAACAACGTCTCGTGGCGGTACATGTAGGCTAGTAACGAGTTAAATAACAACAGTATTTTTAACCCAACGAACATGGTTTAGAAACTTAAATCACTTCTCCAATTGGCACTTGGGGACGTTTATAAAGTTTTTTTTTTCTTTTGGAAACATTGGTGGCAGAGTAAGGCATTTTGGTAGGCGGTCATTGTAAATAAGAATTTGTTCTTAACTGACTTGCCTAGTTAACCCTCCCGTTGTCCTAGGGTCAAAATGACCCGCCACTGTGTTGAACCAACTTTATTTAATTTATTTAAAGTCTCACTGCCTCCTTCTCACAAATGATCCCAAAAATATAAAAATTAAATAAAGTTGGTTCAACACAGTGGCGGGTAATTTTGACCCTAGGACAACGGGAAGGTTAAATAAAGGTTAAAAACATTTAAAAAATTGGTTAGTGTTGGTGTAAGCTGATCCGAAAGCTGCTTCTCTCTAGAGATCCCCTAAAAACACGCCACTTCGATATAACTACGACTTTTCTTTTGGTAGCAGGTTATGAGAATTTACGCAGCAGGTTATGAGAATTAACGTAGCATGTAGGATAAATAGGTTGAGGTTAGGAAAAAGGTTTAGGGTAAGCGAAAATATTCTCCTAACTTGCTACGTAAAGTCACATGTATCGAAGTGGCGTGTTTGAACGGAGACCCATTTTTGTCCAGTTCATCTGAATAAAATGTCAGTTATGTTACATAACACCAGCCCAGCCGCGGATCCTCTTAGCCCATGACATACATTTACATTACATTTTAGTCATTTAGCAGACGCTCTTATCCAGAGCGACTTACAGGAGCAATTAGGGTTAAGTGCCTTGCTCAAGGGCACATCGACAGATTTTTCACCTAGTCGGCTCAGGGATTAGAACCAGCGAACTTTCGGTTACTGGCACAACGGTCTTACCCACTAAGCTACCTGCCGCCCATGACGCATGACTGTCCCCTGTTATCTCTGGTCCGAAAACAAGCCCTAGCCCATTCCCCTATAGCTGCACTGTTTACCCCTCAGTTTTTGCACATCTGTAAAGTGTAGCAATATGGGGCTGACTCCACCTAGCTTGACTTTAAATGGATTAAAGGACACGCCATATTGCGACACCTACTTGGTCTTGGGATTGTTTTCGGATGAGGCCTCTGACTGGGCCTAGTACAGTATAGGACAGGGTCAAAGGTCAAGCCGAAAACCACAGCCCCAATTGGCTTAAATCAGCTGCAATGGATTTGTTCACTAGAACTCTGTTGGAATCCTGATAACTAAACTAAACAGTGATGGTGAAATCCTTACCTTCACCCTCTGCTGTCCAAACTACTGGTGTGTCAAAGTCTGAACATATCTAATCCCACTGATATTTCTAACTCCATAATGTGTGTGTATTTGTGTAACACAACCCTTATGTGCATATACATCCACCCATTATGTGTGGGTAGAAACAGTACATGTATGTCTCCCCTAAGTCACTCAGTGTGTGTGTGTGTGTGTCTACAGGTGATGGCTGTGGCCCCAGTGTGTTGGGCCCCAGCAGTGGGACCCTGTCCTCTCTGGGTTACCCAGGGACGTACCCCAACCACACAGTGTGTGAGTGGGAAATCAGTGTGCCGCAGGGCCTGAGGCTACACTTCCGCTTCGCTGACCTGGACATAGAGGACAACAACTGTCAGGTCAACTACCTCAGAATCTACGACGGTGTAGGACCCCAGAGGACCCAGATAGGTGAGAGAGGGATGGAGATGAGGAGGGAAGGTGGGGAGGGGATAGGGAATGGCTCTATTATCTCCTAGGGGAAAGGAGAGGGGTGTATGAAATATACATAATCAATCAATAGCAACCACTATATGACAGTATGTCAGTATATGACAGACACGTCAATAGAATAACACTGTCTGTACCACTATCTGAATGTAGATAATAACCGCTAGATCAGAATGCAAGATTAAGTAACTTACCCCTCTCCTCCCGACCACCAGTGAAGTTCTGTGGTCTGGGTCTGAAGGTTCCTGAGCTCATCCAGTCCGGTGGGAACCGGGTCACCATCCAGTTCATGAGTGGAACTCACCGCAGTGGGCGGGGCTTCTCCCTGTCCTACTCCACCACAGAACACACAGGTACAAGGGGTCAACGGTCATGGGGTGGGGTCTGAGCTGCATCCTAACTGTGTGAACTGTGAGGTGATCATTCAAGCTGCTGCTGGTGTCCCAATCCTCAGATATGACAATGTCACCCATTATAGACCGCTGTGTTAACTCTTAGTTGAGATTACAATAGATTGTTTTACAGTAACATTGTGCCCCCATGGCTGATGGAGTTGCCTAGGTAACTGTGTGTGTTTGTATGATTGGGAGTTGCAGGGTCTCATGTGAGTCCTATTATAAATGTGTTTCTACTCCCTCTTTTTTCCCTTTCCTCCTCTACTCTCTCTCTCCCTTTTCCACCTTTTCCTTACTGGATAAATAACTATTTTAAATGTATGAGACTGACTGTGTTGTCTGTAAGTGGTACCTCGTGCTGCTCTCTCTGTCAGGGTGTGGGAGATATATGGAGTGAATTCAGTTACAGGGAGATGTAAGGAAAGTGATCTGCTGTAACATGACAGACATGGAGCATGCCTGGAGAGTATTACAGCTGGCATTTATCTCCACATAACTGTGTGTGTGTGTGTTTTAATACTGGAGTTCTTAATCTAGACATACTGCAGCTCTGTGTGTGTGCATCATGCATGTGTGGGTTTGTTTTTTGTGTGTCTACTGTGAGAGAGTAGTAGAGAGAGGGTATAAGAAAGGGTACAGTGAGAGATGGGAGGTGAATAGAGAAGGAAGTTAAAGGAGCGTTATGGTAGAGGGCAGATGGAAGGACAGGGAGGCTTAGGCCAAGATTCAATCCGTAACGACGGTATATAGTGTGCTTGACAGTTAATTTCCAATTGAGCCGAAATCTGCATTGTTTACCTTGAATGCGATCTCCTGCGAATGCGGTAACATTGCTTTTAAGGCGTTTACAGACAGGCCGCAGTTAGCGGCGAAGGTCTCATAGACTTCAATGGGAGTAGGGCAGTGAGTGGCAAAACGCAAGTAGTTTTGCAAGCCGCGCGGTTCTTCGTGCTCACTACCGTGGACGGTGCTGATGGCTCAGCGCTTGAGGCGCCAAAATATTAAATTAGCTGAAGTCTTGAGCGGCTGCCGCGCATGGTTGACCAATGAGCATAGTTCACCTTGTCAACCAATCAAACAATGTTTTAATGACAACATTCGAGCTGACAACAACTGGGACCGCTGTTCTCTACACAAGGTAGGTGGATTTTCTCACGGTTAAATTGTCGTTTACTGCAGCCCGTCTCTAAGCGCCTTTAAAATCTGCATTGTCTATAAGCGCGATTGGATTGAATCCCGGCCTTAATGATGGGGTGTTCTGTTGCAGTGAGAGTGTCAGAACAGTGCGTGTACGTATCCAGAACCCTTAGGTGAAGCCCACCCTGTCCCTGTGTGGCTGGGCTTTGTCACACACCACTCCAAAGAGCTGTCTATCTCTGCAGACTAGAGTGGCACAGACTGTGTGTGTGTGTTTAGAGCCATTAGCGCTGTGCACTGCAGATCCAGCGTGTGGTGACACTTGTCTGTTGTGTCAGGAGTCTGTCTACATCGCCAGTCTCCCTGGAGAGAAGGAGAGATAGATGAGGGGATGGAGGGGGAAGGAAGCTAGAGGAAAACTAAAGTGGGATGCAGGGGGGTGGAGAGAGAGAAAGGTTGGAGAAGGGAGAAGTTGAGGGTGAACAGAGAGAGTGAGATACAACAAAGCTTTTATCCACATCCTCTGAAAGAGGGAAATCAAATTACTGAAGAGAGAGAAAGAGATGGGGTGAAAGACAGATGTATATGTTATTGCACATTCATATGTTAGAGAGTGTTATCATCCTCAGTGACTGGATGGGGATTTCTAACCTTGTGGGCATCCCCTCAGTGTTAAAAAAAACAAAAAACACTCTTGCTCGCTACAGCACACTGTGTGTGTGTCTGTCTGTGCGTGTTTGTTCTGCTTGTGTTCATGTGCGTGTGTCTACCTAGACAGGGTGGAATAGAGAGAGAGAGAGCTGAGTTAATGTGATTCTACAGAATACATTTCACCGTTTCAGGGTATGATTAGCAAAACACATCTTCTACATTACGTTAGCGAGCTAGCTTGTTTACAACGGGCAAAAGAGTTCCACGCGACTTGCGCTGCAGCTACCAACTCAGGTCCAGGATTAGTTTCAGCCAGGGTTCGTTTGCGTTTCACACGTGCTTTATAGAGCGGATCAGGGTAGGATCCAGATCATAAGGGGATATAAGAAAACGCCCTTAATCTATAAATGTCTTTCACAGAAAATAGATGATTTGCAGTATGGGATCAGATGAGATGGAGGTCAGTACCACTAAATATATTAAGAGGGACATTTTTGTTGTGCCGCAGAATTTGTTATCCCATCAAGGTGTGCCATGGTTCAAAAAAAGGTTGGGAACCACTGAGATAGCTTACTCAAAAATATGCTTCAATGGTAGGATGCATATGCCTAATCAATGTAATTCTAAGCTAAATATGAATAAACAATCTGTATTTTTCTGGCGTTCCTTAAATTCAGTTTGGTGCCTAACTTTTGGGAGCAAACCATGTGGTGTCACCATATTGCTAAGTATGGTGATACTTGGCCTGGTATCACAGCGTTAGTAAAATGTTGGTATTGTGACAACCCCTCTCTGGAAATAGGCAAATTTTCTTGCAGTTTACACAGATTTTTTGCATGTTTTGGACTGTCACCAGTTTGCATCCCTGTTTGTAGATCTGATCACCTGTCAAGACAAGGGAATCCACTTCACTGAGGCAGAGTTCACAAGATACTGTCCTGCAGGATGTCTGACCTCTGTTGGGGAGATCTCTGGGACCATACCCCATGGCTACAGAGACGTGAGTATATGCACAGTACTCATGGAATGGTTTGTGGATGTGCATGTGCATGAGTGGTGCTGGGGACTGAGAGATGAGCAAGTCAACGAAACAGAGACAGACTGGGTGGGAACAGTGCATATGCGTGGGTGTGTGCATCTTTGTGTGAGCGTATGCATTTGTGTGTGTGTGTCAGTGTTAGTCATTGTGGAGGGCACACAGTTCCCAGGTGATTCACACTGCCCAATACCCTCCTCCACCAACCTGCTCATCACTCAGCAGTACCCACCACCACTGCCACTAACCCACAGGAACTAACTGGCCACGCACACAGTCATGACTCACTTCATGGCTATGTTCCCCTCTCTCTCTCGTTCTATATCTCTTTTACTCTCTCCCCATCTCTCTTTTTCCAGTCTCATTCACTCTCTCTTTACCCTGCTGGACCTTGTCTGTCCCAATTCACCCCCCCCCCCCCCCCTCTCTCTCTGTCTCGCTCTCATGAAGTTCTTTGTAAACAGGGCCTCTCTCAGCGTATGCACATCCCAGGCTGATGTCCTCACAATGCCCCGGCTGTGTCTGAGGTCATGGGGGCTGAGTGAGTCTGCGGCTGATGACCTCATGCCTGGGCTGGTCAGGGGGCCATGGGGGTGGGAAAGAGGGGAGGGAAGGCTAGATGGGGGGTGTGGGTGTTATCAAAGAGGGGGGGCCCAGGGGTGGCTCAGAGGCACAGTAGAGGGCAAGAGTGTTTGTGTGTATGTATGTGTGTCAGGGGGTGTCTCAGAGGCATAGGGGAGGGGAAGGGAGTTTGGGGGAGGTGAGCTAATTGTTTGGCCCGAAGGAACAGCCTCTTCTAATCCATTCCAGCTGGAGGAGGGTGCTGAGCGGACTGGTGTGTGTGCGTGCGTGTGCATGTGAGCGTGCCTATGTGGCGTGTACATGCGTGCAGGCATATGTTTGTGACGTGTGGTGTGTGTGTGTGTTTCTGAGCTTGTGTAGGCGGTGTTGCAGTTTACATAGCAGAAAAGGATCCTGGGTTCTACATGTTCAGCCAAACAGAGCTGTACGGGGTTACAACCCAAGTCAGTCTGACTTTGGTTTCCATGGAGCATTGCCATCTGCTGCTCATTGGACCACACCTCATGTCACAGGGGGGTCAGTGCACCCCACCCATCTCTGCACGTCTACTTTACTCTCACATTCTGTCACTCTGTCAACTTTTTCAGTAGGAATTTGTCTCTCTCTCTCTTGCTCTACCGGTTCTCCTGTTCCTTCTCCCATCCCTTTGGGTTGGTGTGTAATGTGTTGTAATGAGTGAGAGAGTTTGTGTGTGTGTGTAAGCGGTCTGTGCTCTGAGTTGCTGGGTGTGGTGGTTTGGAGCAGTGCAGTGTGTTTGTGTTAGTGGTTTGGTTGGGTGCTGCTTCGGATGTGGTGTGTTACTGGGATGATTTAGAGCTGAGAGGGCAAGTGTTCAGTGCCTGTGGGTACCTTGACTATGTGGTGTGTGTGTGTGAATGTGTAGAACGTGTCTATGATCGCACAATGTGTGTGTGTGTGTGTGTGTATGTCACAACACGGTGCCTTTGGTGTTACCCACAGTCCTGTCAGCTGTGAAACCCCATGTGGGGCCTTTCCAGGAAAACCATCCCACTTCACTCACCCAGCTGCCCACTGCTGGGAACTGTGGTCTCACTAAATGTGTGTTCACTAGTGTGTGTACGTGTTTTGCCAATATATGCATGAATAGATCGATTTTATGATGTCTGCAAATTACTGAGTTAGTTACTGGAAAGCTAAGGGAATACATGAAGAAGAGAAAGGGAAATGTTTAAACAATCCAACCTTTTCAGTGATCTTAATATGATATTAACTCACGGAAGGAGGGAAGGAATTAAGGAAGGATGTATATCAAATTCAAAAAAAAAAAATGTATAGAGCTCTTTTACATGATGTCACAAAGTGCTATACAGAAATCCTGCCTAAAACCCCAAACAGCAATCAATGCAGATGTAGAAGCACGGTGGCTAGGAAAAACTCCCTAGAAAGGCAGGAACCTAGGAAGAAACCTAGAGAGAAACCAGGCTCTGAGGGGTGGCCAGTCCTCTTCTGGCTGTGCTGGGTGGAGATTATAAGAGTACATGGCCATTAAGGCCAGATTGTTCTTCATTCATAGATGACCAGCAGTGGTTGTAGAGGGTGCAACAGGTCAGTAACTCAGAAGTAAATGTCAGTTGGCTTTTCATAGCCGAGCATTCAGAGTTCGAGACAGCAGGTGTGGTAGAGAGAGAGAGAGAGAGAGAGTCGAAAACAGTAGGTCCGGGACAAGGTAGCACGTCCGGTGAACAGGTCAGGGTTCCATAGCCGCAGGCAGAACAGTTGAAACTGGAGCAGCAGCACGACCAGGTGTACTAGGGACAGCCAGGAGTCATCAGGCCAGGTAGTCCTGAGGCATGGTCCTAGGGCTCAGGTCCTCCGGGATGGGAGGGAGAGAGAATTAGAGGGAGCATACTTCAATTCACACAGGACACCAGATAAGACAGGAGAATTACACCAGATATAACAGACTGACCCTAGCCTCCCGGCACATAGACTATTGCAGCATAGATACTGGAGGCTGAGACAGGGGGGGGCTGTGGCTCCGTCTGACGATACCCCCGGACAGGGCCAACCAGGCAGGACATAACCCCACCCACTTCGCCAAAGCACAGCCCCCACACCACTAGAGGGATATCAACAGACCACCAACTTACTACCCTGAGGCAAGGCTGAGTATAGCCCACAAAGATCTCCTCCACCGCACGAGCCCGAGGGGGCAAAAAACGGACAGGAAGATCACGTCAGGGACTCAAGTGACGCACACGTCCTGGGGACGGCATGGAAAGCACTAGTAAGCTGGTGACTCAGCCCCTGTAATAGGGTCAGAGGCAGAGAATCCAAGTGGGGAGAGGGGAGCCGGCCAGGCAGAGACAGCAAGGGCGGTTCTTCGCTCCAGTGCCTTGCCGTTCACCTTCGCACCCCTGGGCCAGACTACACTCAATCATAGGACCTACAGAAGAGATTAGTCTTCAGTAAAGACTTAAAGGTCGAGACCGAGTCTGCATCTCTCACATGGATAGGCAGACCATTCCATAAAAATTTAGCTCTGTAGGAGAATGCCCTGCCTCCAGCTGTTTGCTTAGAAATTCTAGGAACAATAATGAGGCCTTTTTCTTGTGATTGTAGCATACGTGTAGGTATGTACAGCAGGACCAAATCAGAGACATAGGTAGGAGCAAGCCCATGTAATGCTTTGTAGGTAAGCAGTACTTCCTAATGTTTGAAACACAGGCTTCACCATGTTTAATCGAAATGTACAGCTGAGTGTCGTACGCATAGCAGTGAAAGTTGACATTGTGTTTCCGAATGACATCACCAAGAGGTAGAATATATAGTGAAAACAATAGTGGTCCTAAAACGGAACCTTGAGGAACACCTAAACTTACAATTGATTTGTCAGAGGACAAACCATCCACAGAGACGAACTGATATCTTTCCGACAGATAAGATCTAACCCAGGCAAGAACTTGTCTGTGTAGACCAGTTAGGGTTTCCAATCTCTCCAAAAGAATGTGGTGATCGATGGTGTCAAAAGCAGCACTAAGGTCTAGGAGCACGAGGACAGACGCAGAGCCTTGGTCTGACGCCATTAAAAGGTAATTTACCACCTTCACTTCATAGATAGAAATCTATTGAAACAGGCCTTGGATCAGCATTTTTTCTTCTTCATAGCACTCAGGGTTCCCCCTGCCAGGAAGTGACATCATCGTGCCGACTTATCTCCTGTTATCTGTGGAGCTGAGGTCTGGGGACTGAGAGCTGTTCTTTGTGATCTATATCATTGTAAAACCTTATACAAGCCATTACTGTCACTCACTGGGATATATGGCCTCTCAGTTGACACCGGAACAATCCTAAACACAAGATTCACCGCTCTCTCTCTCCGTCTGTCTCTCTCCTCTCTCTCTGTCTCTTTGTTATCTCCCCCTCTCATCATCCCTCTTGCTCCCTCCAGTGTTCTAACCCCTTTTCTCACAGCAGCGAGGATTCAATTGACATAGAAGTAATTTGATGAAGATGGTCATACATAAAAATGCACATTTCTAAACACTCTTGAATAGATCATAATCAATATCTCCTTCTCCCTCCCTCCTCTAGTCGTCTCCAGTGTGTCTAGCAGCCATCCATGCAGGTGTAGTGTCTAGCTCTGTGGGCGGTCAGATCAGTGTGGTTAGCAGTAAGGGCATCCCTCACTACGATGGCTCGCTGGCTAACAACGTCTCCTCCACTGTGTAAGTACTACTGTCTGTCTGGGAGAATACATCTGCTTTCTCTTCCCTTTCCATCGCTCCATCATTATGTCTATCTCTCTCTGCCTCTCTCCAGTGGTCCCTTGTCCAACAGCCTCTTCACTTTCAAGACCAGTGGTGAGTTAAGCTACAATACAAAAACAGACCATGATACCACCACAGCCACACATGCTTCTGTAACCTTTTCAACTACACCTGCCACCACAATCACTACCACAATCGCGAAGACAGTCATGTGTCCTCCCACTTGAATACACTCAGTTTCTCTCTCTCTCTCTTAGGTTGCTATGGGACACTGGGTCTAGAGTCGGGCGTTGTTAGGGACTCCCAGCTCTCTGCTTCCTCGGTGTGGGAATGGAGTGACGTGATTGGCCAGCCCAGCGAGTGGGGCCCATCTGGGGCCCGCCTTAAAAGGACAGGGCTTCCCTGGGCGTCGGCTCACAGCGACCAGCAGCAGTGGCTACAGGTGGATCTGAAGAAGGAGAAGAGGATTACAGGCATCACCACTACAGGCTCCTCCCTCCTGGAGTATCAGTTCTACGTGTCAGCCTATCGGGTCCTCTACAGCAATGACGGACAGAACTGGAGCGCCTATCGGGAGGCAGATGCTACCCAGGACAAGGTGAACACCCCTCTCATCAATAACATTAAAGGGACACTTTGCTTCTTGAAAGTCCAATATCTTGAAAACTTGACTGCTGACATACAAAACATTTTGGGAATGTATCAACAGTGGACTAAAGAAAGAAATACTAAAAGATAGTTTTGAGTGGACTTTCCCTTTAAGGAGAGAGGAAGCTACTTTAGACAAGAGTAGGGGAGCGGGGGGTTTGTGAGTTTGTTTCTATGGCAACAGTGATTGATTGCGGTTGTTTATAGCAGGAAACATGAGAGCTGACTGTGGTTGTTAAGCGCTGTGGTCACTCAGGACAGCAGCTCATTAAAGATGGATGGAGATTGATTGAGTGGCTGTGTTAGTCAGGATCTGTAATCAGGGCTTTTTATCCTATATTTAACAGGAGATAATATCACTAAGGTTAAAAATCTATTTTACAAGAGAAACCTTTCCCAAAAAGGTAGCAATCAAACATTTGTTACAAACCATACATAATATTAACAATACAGTAGTCTTGTAGGCACAGGCAAGATAACATGAGATATCATTTGGAAACATACTGTAGCTTCAATGTCTGTGTGTAGTGATGACTGTCTCTCTTTCTGTTTCATGACAGACTTTTCAAGGAAACACCAACTATCTCCATGAAGTACGCAATAACTTCATCCCACCAATCGAGGCGCGGTATGTGAGGATGAGCCCTGCCCAGTGGCACCAGCGAATCGCCCTCAAGTTTGAGCTGCTCGGATGCCAGTTCCATCAAGGTAACCAAACCAGCCAATCAGATGCAAGTCAGGTGTTTCGACTTTTTAGCCCATTTGTGAATTCGATTTTTCTTGTGGGCAGTCGAAGGGATTATATTGTCATAGAATGATTATAACTGTTCTGCCTATTCTCCCATTGGACAGCGAGACCACGGATATACCGCCCCCCTCGGCCTCCCACTCCCCCAGTGGCCACAGACACCCCCCCACTGTACGGCTTGAGCACCCACACCCCTGACATCAGAAACACCACCATGCCCCCACGCACCAGCAACGGTGAGGGAGGGAGGGAACAGATAGAGGGAAAATAGTTACAGTATCTAATTGTGCTGATGATTGTGATTGGTTCACACTGGTTGTGTTGTGGTCATAGACGTGGCGTTGGCAGCAGTGTTGGTGCCAGTGTTGGTCATGGTTCTGACCTCCCTCATCTTGACAATGGTCTGTGCCTGGCACTGGAGAAACAGGTGATGATTAACTATAACTAGTAACAACTAAATACCCATGCACTCAGTAGCTCCCAACAAAGTACATTTACATTTTAGTCATTTAGTAGACGCTCTTATCCAGGTAGTGCATTCATCTTAAGATAGCTAGGTAAGAAACTACATATCACAGTTGTAGTAAGTACATTTTTCCTCAATATTAAAGTTATCAGCAAAGCCAGTGCTAGTAGGAAAAGATGTGCAATAATTCTTTTTTTGGGGGGTGACAGATGTCTTATTTAAAATAGTATTTGAAGACGTTTTGATGTATCACACTTTCTTTGATTTTCTCCTCTGTTCTCTCTTTCTCTCTCTCCTCAGGAAGAAGAGTTCTGAGGGGGCTTATGATTTACCTCACTGGGACCGTACAGGTAAACACAACACTCTCAGTGTGTTTGTTTGTGTGTGTGTGTGTGTGTTTAATGTGTGTGTGTGTGTGTCTCTGTCCAGACTGGTGGAAGAGTATGAAGCAGTTCCTGCCATCCAAGATGGCAGAGGGGGAGGAGTCAGTTCGCTACAGCAGCAGTGAAGTGGGCCGGCTCAGAGGAAGAGGGAACGCCCCTAGACTACAGGCCGAACCCGCAGGTATACACACACACACACACAGCGAACTGAGTGTTTGTATGTGTAACACACCCTCTTCATCTCCTGCATTAGAATATGCCCAGCCCCTGGTGAGCGGTGTGGTGACATCACTAGGTCAGAGGTCAACCTTCAAGCCAGAGGAAGGTTCTGACCCTGGCTACACTGACCCTGACCTCTACGACGCTCCTATAGCAACAGACATCTACCACGCCTACGCTGAACCCCTGCCTGCCTCCGGCGCCGAGTACGCCACGCCCATCGTGATTGACATTGCAAGCCACCTATCAGGGAGCTCCTCGCTGAGCCAGCCAACCACAGTCTCCAGCTTCATCGGCCATGGCCCCGCCTCCCTGCTCGCACGGACAGACAGTGGGCAATCGGGGAGGTCAATGTACGACACACCCAAGAGTATAGGACAGGCCATGCCCACTGTGGATCTAGCCTATCAGGTGCCTCAGAGCAGCTCTCAGAAGCCAGCAGGGCAGAGCTGAAGGGGCGGAGTGAGGACTGTGATTGACAGGGCCGAAACCATAAACCACATCCCCCATGGACAGAGAGAGGGGGATATAACCCTGGGTCTGAGTCTGTAAAGAACACACTACCTTAAAGTGAGTTCACTTTGTCTGTATGTGAGTGTGTCTACACAGGAGTCTGTATGTACAGTATGTGTGTGTTTACATGTACATGCGTGGCCGGAGAGTGCTAGCATAGTGCCATACCAGTCCTATCACTGAAACCACAAAGATGAATGTCTACATGAAAGAGAAAGAGGAGAGATGGAGAGCTCACTACTGTTTCAGCCAGGCTTAGTCCACTCTGTCAATGTGTCTTAATTGTATGTTTAGTCAAACTGTGAGTTTATATTCCTTTAATTCCTTTCATGTGTCAATTTAAAAGTGAAGTAATTCTCCAAAGATAGGTTCTCTGAAATGGTTGCCTTCTATTATAGGCAATGTTTCTACCACTAATGTGTTCTAATAGTGTTCTCTGCATAAAGGCCGAAGGTCACCTATGTCTAAAGAGGAGTTTCCTCATTTTTACTACGGTACGCTTTGATTGGAGGCTTTTAGATCTGTTAGTTCTCAAAATCAGATCTCATAAAACTTTTGAATGTAACCATTCACCTTTGAACATAAATCTAGAGTGAAATCCACACCAAAAACCTGTGTTTCTCAAAATGATTATCTTTTATTTATTTTTCTTTCATAATTCCTGCTGAAAAGGACATACTCTCACTTAAGAAAAGCAAATGTTCCCAACCATTATGGACAGCGGTGACGAATCCTCTTCCACACGGAAGGCATCAAATAATTATGGTTGCACTGTTTTCATGGTTACATGGTTCATGGGGGGGGGGGGGGGGGGGGTAGTCCAAGTTTGGGAAACCCTGGTCTAGGTTACCGCGTCAGCCTTAAAGAGCTGCGTATAGGTCACGGATCCTGTCGAAGATGGTACGGAGAGGAAACAATATCACTAGTGACCAGTCAGCATACTGAAGTCAGAAACACTTCAAATTCCAATATACAGTATGCAGGTGAATGTGCATCTTTGTCTGAATGACTCTGCTGTGTGTATTTCTTGGACATTGATTGTCTCTACTGTATGATTGCTGTCTTTCGTGTGTGTGTATGTGATAACTTTCCTTAGTGTCTTTGTGCAAGTAGCTGTGTCTGTTGAACCTTTGTATCGGTGTGTGTCTATCTTTGTATGGCTGTCCTAAAGAGAGTATCTAGCTATGTCTGTATGAGTGTACTGTATCTGTGTTTGATTAGTCATGTCTGTAGTAATGGATGTCAGGAAATAATTTGTCAGGTCACTCCCTGTCCTGAACACCAAATCTGATCCTGGACCAGTTTGTTAAAGGTTAGGACATCAGTAGGGAAGGCTGGCCCTAGGTCAGTGTGTGTGTTTCTGTGAGTTCACAGATTGTACAAAGAGAAATAAAGACTTTAAAAATAAGTAATGTTTTTTTACAAAAACGTTAATGCACAACACATTCATACGGTCAACAGTAAAAAATGTAATCTTAAATGATTCCTTCATATTTCACATTACTTCATATCAATATCTTGAAGATAACATCTTAATAGATATTCAAGCACTGGTATAAATTATAACATCTGAAAACAATTTCCAATGATTTCCCACCTTATGTCATTTTAACACCACTACTGCCATCACATGGTGATGTAGGGAAATTAAACAGTGTGGGTCACAGCACATCAAGCACAAAAACACCAACAGCTTTTTCCTTTGTCATCTGTGTGAAGAAGAAAAAAATCGAAGAACTAACAGTAAGCCTACTGACTATTTGGAGCCTCTGTGTTTAGATATAAGGTGTGTACAAGCATTCATGATGATCAAACGCTAATAACACAAACCACATCTCAAATGTAGAACTACGTACATTTGGACCATTGACCATTTCAATAAATCAGTCACATTTACAGTATTTAGAATGAAATATCAGACTTCTCTTTCTCATGATTCACTCAATATTTCTCTTCTTCCTCACCCTTTTTGGTCCTTTTCCATCACTCCTCCATGTTCTGACCGTTCATACCAAACTTCCACCAAATGGCGGTAAAGATTACAGCGAGGAGCAGGATGAGACAGTCAGTGATCTGGTAGGCTACGGTGAGGAAGTTGTTCTGACCCCCGACCCAGCTGACTGGACAGTGCCACTTCCTTTCTGCCCCAGAAGGACTCCACTGCAAAGGTCAAGGATAAACAGAGCCACATACGGTACACACCTTATATCTAAACACAGAGGCTCCAAATAGTCAGTAGGCTTACTGTTAGTTCTTCGATTTTTTTCTTCTTCACACAGATGACAAAGGAAAAAGCTGTTGGTGTTTTTGTGCTTGATGTGCTGTGACCCACACTGTTCTAATAACTGACCAAATAAACAAAAATCAACATTTCAAGCCACAACCTACTGTTTCACTTCCACCCAATGAGAAACTAGCTAACCCCACTAGGAACCTGCCATTGGGAAACCGTTTTAATTCAATTGATTCAAATCTCAAAATGATCAATCTGGTAGAATAAAGCATGAATAACCAGATGAATAATAAAGGACACTGTAGGAGATATGGTCGCTGTAGTTCCCAGGCGGCAGCCCTCGTAGAGCTTCTTGAAATTGGGGAAGGCAGCCTCCCTCATCCACACGATCAGGTCCTCATTGATGAATCCGTTGTTGTTGTGGTACCAGGGGTCCAGGTCACACATTGCTTTCTGCCAGTACAGAGGCCGTGCCGTGCCTGACAACACATAGACAACTAGGACAGAGTTTTGACAACAGTGATACCAACATTTGGAAAGGCAAGTAAGAGGAAGCGGTGATATAAATGTATATTAAATAAGAATGTGGTATTACACCATAACTATTAATAATAGAGATGGCCATGAACACACTGTGTGGGTGTATTGTGAGACACACCTTCAAACACCTGTGCTAACGTTAGTGTCTTGTTCTCAACCGGTGGGTTGAGCAACTTGACATTCTTGTCGGTGTACCAGGTGATGTCCTTCCTGAACAGAGGAACATGGACCACCGGACCCCCCTTTTCTGAGTGATACGTCAGAGTCAAGGAGACTGGGACAAACAAACAAAACTCATCAAGAAATCAATCAGTCAGTAAATTAATCAAAATCAGGTCTCATGTCAGATTGATTTGATCATATCACTGGATATTAAAAGGTGTTTTCCCCCGAATCCTATATATCATGCAGTCACATTGTTAGCAGAGACTCATAACATAGTGTGGGTAATGCCAGACAGACAGGAATAGATAGATAGAGTAGATAGAAACAGTTGCTACCTTGAGGTTTTCATTTTCTCCCGACCATCTGTCCATCGTCCCTGGAGTACATGTATATGTTCTGGTGGAAGTTGATCAGCCCATTGTAGAAGAACATGTCTCTCTGGGACAGGAAACAGGAAATGCGTCATCACTATGCGTCTCAAAGGACTTGGATTTGGTTCGACAGCTTGTGGTCTTGTCGAAGTGTCCACACCAAGACAGAAACACACACACTCACACCTTCAATGTGTCTTCAATGTTAAACACCATTGTGCAGTTGCAGCTCTGGTTGGCGTTGGCACTGTCTTTACGCTTCTCAAAACACAATTATCACATGACCCTGCGTGTGTGTAGTCCACCTGTGGAGAGAGAAAAGAAGAGATGGTGAGAGAGAGAAATAGAGATAGCAAACATTAAAACCTATATGAACTTTAGATTGATGCTTGTTCGCCACTGCCACTCCTCCTGTTATACTGTACACTCATTCTCAGGATACCCTTAAACTCTTCTCTCTCCCTCTCATTGTCTCTCTCTCTCTTTTTTCTTCTTTTTTTTTTTTTTCTTAGGGGGTAGATCAGCTTTAATATTGCAGATAGATTGTAACTTCCATCAATGTAATTGTCTGCATCACTTCCAATCCCCCATATGTTTTTTCTCTCTCGCATATATATATATATATATATATATATATATATATATACACATACACATATACATATCCTTAAAAAAAATATTTTTCCCTTTATTACTTTCCAACCCCACCACCCCTTCCCTAATTGGAGTAAACTAGTGAACAACAATGCTTAGGCCTCTACTTCCAGCTTATACATACTATATACATTTCATGGATACAGTCAATTTTACAATAATTCTATTTTTTTGTTTTTACTCCTGAACTTCCTCTACCCTCAACCTCTCCGATCATTTTCATGATGTCCATCCGGTTTGCTTCTATATGCCATATCTTTCTAACTGTGCTCTTTCACAAATGCTCTCAACCTATAACCTATATACTTATTATGGACACAGTATGCTTTACATTAGTTATCTTGTTGTTGCTAGTTGTTATTAGTCCCATCCTTCAACTCCATGCAACACCACCCATCTATCTCTTAACACCATCCATATTGGATTTCTATTTGCCATATATTTTTCAACTGTACTGTGATGTTTTACAAAAGTTCTGAACCTTTCTATTCTCATTGTTTCTACAGATTATAAATTGAAAATAACCATTTTTGCTAAAAGTATTATTATATTATTGATCGATTGACTATGACTTTTCAGATCACCCAGTAGTGCTCTCTGCAGGGTCAGCTCCATGCAAATATTGCAATCCTTCAGCCATTCCTGGACCTGTGTCCAGAAACAAGCTACAAATGGACAGTACCAAAACAAATGATCTAATGATTCTGTCTCTTCGCAGCAAAATCTGCAGAGCTGGGAAGATTGTATCCCCCATATAGGCACACTCCCAGTAGAACATATAGTGGCCATACAGTAGAAGAAAGGCAGGACGGTGTGAGCTGTGAGCATGGGGGACCAGACAGGCAGTCTCTGATGTTTGAAAGCCGAGTTATCAGGCCTCCGGGCCAGGAGCCCAGCGTGGGCCTTCGCCTTGCCCATGACAGAGAGCTCCGGCTGGGGCAGGGAAAGGAGCACGGATAGGGTCAGGCAACCAGAGAACAAGCAAGGAATGGGAGTATTGTCTCTCTTCTCTTCCCGTCTTCTTTAACATGGTCTTATCTCTTTGTTCCTCTCCCTTGTTCTCGCTCCCCTCCCTGCCAAGAATCCTTGGCTCTACTTCCTCTTTCCGTCTCTTCTCTCTCATTCTTTTTCTACTGTTATTCTCTCACTCCTTCCTTAGCGCTTCAGTCCTACATACATACAGATGTTTTACAGTCTAACAGATCATCGAGCTGAAATACTGCAGGTTTATTTTTAGACAGTAACTTACGATCATTTCCCCTTCGAACCAGTTGCCTGTGTCTGTACCTGCCTCGTTGTTGTAGAACAACTTCACACACAGGATGTTATGATAAATCAGACTTCCTACTGGGCGAAACAACTCATGACCTCAGACTCAGTGGGATGGGCTTCCCGCTGGTGTGGGTGAACAAACAGAGAGTCTGGTTCCATTCAGAATGGCTTTATTCAAACCATCCCACAGGGACTACAACACTGTATAAACAATATCAGACATTTTACATGGTCACTTAAAATAGAAAAATAACAACAACAGTGTCACACAGAGAAGGTAAAAACAGGATAGGGAAGTGTCCAGCAGTCTCTCTCTGTTATGGAGACATAATTGGTTTGAGGTGCCCCACTTAACTTTGTTGTGTGTAGGTGTGTGTGTGTGTTTCAAGGTTATTATAGTTTCGTGATTTAATATTAGTTTTTATTTCTATTCGTTTTTAGATTTTTATTGGAAATTCAGTTTAGTTTCAGTTAGTTCAGACTTGATTTGCTCGTTTTTATTTAGTTTCAGTTTGATAAAAACATTTATATTTCGTTTTATATTATTTAATTAAAATTTTAGTGTTAGGGACAGAAAGTAGCCTATGTGTGGGAGGCTAGGAGCCATTTATATGTTGAAGGCCTATAGTTTTTTTGGTTTTTGGGATGTCACTTCTTGCCACTGGGGGGCAGTAATACATAAATTGATGGGCCAGGACCATAGACCTGGATAGACATAACAGCTCTGTATCTGTGTCATGATGACGTCTGTGAGAGCATGGGCAGCGCCATTGAGGCCATCTCCATCTTGAAATCGTACATTTTCTTCTTCACAAGTAAAAGTAATTGGCTGATTCCTCCTGATGACCCGGCTGTCACGACTCCAACCAGGTCATCAGGTCATGCCAACCGGGTCATCAGCAGGGATCAGCCAATGAAATTGGAAGTCCCGCACAGTTGACTAAATAAAAATGGCAAGAATCCTCTATGGCGCTGCCCATGATAACACCAGCTTTTGGCCACTAGAGGGCTCCATACAACTCCATGGCCAGGACATTGGTTTGGTTAGGTTTAAACTATAAAACAATCGTAATGTGACTTGGATTTAAAGGATAAGCGCCTAGACTGGTGCAATAAATATGGTGGAAGGGTACTCCCTTGCCCATGTTTAAACCAATCCAATTATTTTTTATTTTTAGTATTAGAAGTAAGAAGAATCAAGTATCTTTACCTTTATCTGACAGAAAGAGAGAGGAAAAAACTACAAATGAAGTCATGGCACATTTGACATATTATGTTTATGTAATATTAAATAAGTATCACTGACTAACCCCATAGGGTTAATAAAAACAGCTCCAACAACAGCAAAAACTTATGTAATACAACACTTCTTCACAAATCTATCAGTTGACAGCCAGCTTGTGTGTGTGTGTGTGTGTTTCTGTTCAACCATACAAAATGTTCTGGTTTATCTTCAATAAGACTCTGTGTTCCAGAGAGGAGGTCGTTCGTGTTCTCAAGCCTGATGACAGTTGTCCACAGACAGAGAATATTCTCTGCACGAACGCTCGAGATGCAGTGGCAGAAACCAGATCCAGTGCCACAGGACACAGCTTTGGATAAACAGCCATCCTTGTCTGCCAGAACTGGAGAGGTGACTCTGTAAACATGCTCCCCTTACCTCCTCCAGGTTTTTCCGCAGCTCACACGGGGCACTTAATGCCCTGCCAGGTTGACCCGCTGGACAGTGACCTCAGACACAATCTTTGATGCGAGGCTATCTTTCTGAAGAACTGTGGTCGAGATTTTTGCTTGATTCATCGTGCTGGCATCTTCCTGGGGTCCTGCTGCTCCATGGCTGTACTCTCTGATTTGCTGAAGTACAAATGACTCTGCTTCCCTCATCAGTGGCTCCATCTCTGTTGAGCGAAATGCCAGAGACATACTTGGGTCTATCAGGCAAGCTGCTGCAGGGGTTGGATCGAAGTTGGCTGCCAGAGGATTCAGTATGCATGCAAAGCGCTCAAGCAGTGACTTCAGGAGGACCTGTGCCCACTGTTTTGCAACAGTAGATGACTGCAAGTGTGCCTCAAGGTTGAGAAGGCACGGTACCACATCAGACAGTTTGAAGTTGGTCGTTGTGGATTGTGAACGGCTCCAGCAACTTCACAAGCTGCTCTAGCTTGGCCCAGTCACTGGTCAGCAAGTTGGTCATGTGGATTGCGAACGGCTCCAGCAACTTCATAAGCTGTTCTAGCTTGGCCTAGTCACGCTCCTTGCTCGCACTCAGATTTCTTCCCTGTTAGCTAGTGATAGCTAGTGGTAGTGATGCACATGCTACCCACTGGGCAAACACTGGTTGAATCAGCGTTGTTTCCACGTCATTTCAACCAAAATCAATCAATGTGATGACGTTGAATCAACATGGAAAACTGATTGGATTTGCAAAAAGTCATTAACGTAAGGGCATTTCATATTTTTTTCACCCAACTTTTTACTGAAATCCAATGACATGGTGACATTTGTTGTTGATTTCACATTTAAATCACGTTAGTTGACATCTCAACCAAATATAAATCAAAACTAAACGTTGAACTGACGTCTGTGCCCAGTGGGTAGGCCTATTTGAAACATCGGCATCTACTAGCAGCATTTACACACCAGATTCAGAAGCTCGAAAACCCCAATAGAAAAAAAGCTTGAAAACCCCATTAGATTTTTGCCCAAACTTTTGAATAAAAACAATAAAACTAAACATAATTTATGATGATTTTGATTGTATTTTAGTTAGTTTTGCAGTTTGCTTTTCAAATGTTTTTTTTAATTTATTTTTAATTTTTTTATTTTACTAAATTGTTTACTACAATAACTTTGGTGTGTGTGTGTGTGTGTTTGTGTGAGAGCATGATCAGAAGAGGTCCAGTTCAAAATGGTTGGGTGTGTGTTTATGTGTCAGTCTATGGCAGAGGGCAAAGTATGGCAGTTGGTGTGTGTGTATGTGTATCAGAAGAGTCCCACTTTTACTTTTCCTTCTCTACAGCCTTTCAAGATGCCCCTATCCAGCAGCTTCAGCAAGTCAATTTGGACCTGGAAGTGAAAAAGAGGGCTATATTATTAAGAAACTCCATTTAGTCTGTCTGACAGAAAGCCCATGTACTACTAGAAAATATTTTCAGTACTGTGTAAAGTGTGACTGTGTTGTTCACCCAGCAGGGGGCATTGTAGTCTCACCTCAGGGACATCCACCATCATGCGAAGCTTCTGGTCCCACCAGTTCCAGTCCAGAACCAGGAAGCGCTGCGCTGGCAGTGCCAAACTGGGGTTAAATCCCTGAGGGGGAGAAAATGAGGCCCCACCTCAGGGTGAAGGGTAGAGGATCAGAACAAAGTATCATGTAAATTAAGCCACACTAAGGACAAGCCTTTACCTCTCCCTAGAAGGGCTTTCAGTCTCCATGGTGTTCCCATCCCAATGTGTGAGCTTGATGAGTCTGAGGGCGGAGTTACAGACAATGAGCAGAATTACAGAACCCTTCTCTGTGTGTTGCGTCTGGACCTTAGCCCATTTGGGACAAACTGAGCAAAAAGAGAAAAGGAAAAACATATACTGTGATACAAGGGACGGATGTCAATAGTCTAAAGTGGCTTCCTCTTCTCATTTCCTCCACAGATCAGTCAGATGAATAATAGGAGATGAGGAGGGGAAGCCAACACCAGACTATTGAGTTATACCCAAGTACACATCTAGGAACATGACAGAAGACTTAAAGCACAAATGGGACAGAAGTCCTATTAGTTTAACATTGAGGTTAAAAATGAGTAATGGATTGGTGAGGCATGTAGGTATGTAAGGAGTGACGGTTTGGTTTGTACTCACTTTCTTTCAGGTAGGAGGAGGTGTGTGTGAGGTCATTAATCATCAGGAAGCAGGAATCAGTGAAAAAAGTCACATTAGGTAATTCAGAGAAAGTGAGTGCGTAGGAGTGAGAGAACGAGAGAGAGGGGGAGAGAGAGGGGGAGAGAAAGAAGAGAGAGAGAAAGAGAGAAAGAAAGATATAGAGTGACTGACAAAAAGGCTGACAGCCCTTGTACCTGCTGGTAACAGAAGACAGAGGTCAGGTGTGACAGTTGAAAGGTTAAAGGTGACTCGCCCTGCAGTTTGAGCTCTTCCAGTTCGATGACAGAGCGCTCGTATTTGAAATACTTTAGAACCAGGTTCTGCAGGTCGCCTGGAGAGCCCGGTTTGGGTTTCGATGTGGCCAGGACATCTGTGATCGTCTTCTTCTTCTGAATTCACACAGAGATACAATTCCCACTTCTAACACCAATGTGATTGAATTTAGGCACATTTTAACTGCAGTTCCTTTTTAGGACAGCAAGTGTCTCTTCAATCCCCTCCATCCTCAGTTTTACCTTTCTCTGTTTCTTGGGCTTTTTTTCGCCCTCATCCGCTTTCTTCTCCTGAGCCATAAAACACTCCTTCTGGGATTTCTGTGTAGACAAATATAACTGAGACAGTAGTAGTACAGTTGTACACCAAACGAAACGCAATGAAGTTTAAAACAAACTATTACATACCAGAGGAGGAGAACACACCTGTTTCCTCTTCTTTCCTTTATTCTCCTGTGGGGTGGCTTCTGTAGGCTGTTCTCCTCCTCTTTCTCCCGTTCTTTCTCCTCCTCTCCCCCCGAGACATCTGAAAAAGCAGAAAAAAGTGTCCATTATATTTGACTTTGCGCAACCTCAACCTCTGCCCACTGGACAGGCATAGTTACCACAACGACACGGTGCATTGTCACCATGGACACCAAGGGGAGTATACTTTATAGTCACCATGGATATCAATGTTGTAACATACAGCCAAACAAAATGCCTGGCTATCTTTAACACCCCTCTGCACCCTCTATACCACATCCCCCCCCATCTACCCCCGAGGCTGCCTTGTGGCACGTCCTTAATAAAGCCCATGTATGTTCCATTGCCTGTCTGTCTGTCGGTCCCAGGTGTGTAATGATCACAATGTGAGCAGGGTTTATTGGGGACCTAGTGGCATGTGGCATGGCTGGGTTTTACGAGATCAACCCAAGCTGTGGTGTTTGCTAGACTGAATGTGTAGGCTGAGGAGTTTCAACATTTATAACACGTTTATAAGACGCCATTGCCTGATTCCCTCTTCATGTGACCCTCATAAATACCACCAATAGGACACCAATAGGTAATTCCCAATTCCCATGGATTCATAGGCCTATAAGGTGAAGGGGTGATAATGACCCCGGTGAGTGTCTGTCTGCCCAGACAGTGACAGATCTTACACATTAGTGTATGTATGCATAGGCATTAATTCACACTAGCCTATATTCATAATGCATGAATCAATTGGTATAGCCTAACAATAACTTGAATGAATTGCAGGAAATCTTACAGTCTGTCACTTTAAGAGTTTCTGGAAATCACTTGGGGATTTAGATATCACTATGGTTGCCAAGCACTTGTGGAGTAACATCAATGTGGCTACAGAGTATATTTAGAGTAATGAAGGAGTATATTTGGAGTAACACATGGGTGTCCACTGATCTTTTTAGGCTTAGTACACTCACAGGACACTTTGCAGGATGGTTGGGTCATTCTCTGAGTGTCCAGCATAGGTGACAATGACGTGCATTAGCCGCTCAATATACCTCAATGACAAACTGCACTAAACACACCGCCGACCAACCCGAGTGTGTGTCTGTGCATGCACGTGTGAGGGTTATCAGCCATCTCCTTTCCCCTTGTTCTCCATCTTGGTCACCCTCTCTTTTTCCCCTCCCTGTCCCCATCTCACCGATCTCTCTCCATCTATTCATTTTCTATCTTGATCTGTCCCTCTCTTTCTCCTGCTCTGTCACTTTTCAGTCATGACCATCTGTCCAGGGGAAAGAGGATAGGTTAGTGTGTTTAGGCACAGGGGGTTGTAGCAGGAAAGAGAGGGTATGTGTGTGTGTGTCTAGTGTGAGAGAGTGTGCATGTTACATTTAATTAGCACCGATTCATTTCTGCATGGTAGGTCTGATCCAACCACTACTCCCTGGCCCCACCCCTTCACTCTATCCTTTACAGTCATCTGTCAGGGCAATCGCTCCCTCTCCATCCGTCCATCCTCCCCTCTAAGCCTCCATCCCTTCTTTAAGGATCAAACCACACACTCTCTCTCACACACACATCCCCCTCTCTTTCCTTCTATCTGGACCACTTGGAGAAAATGTAAGGACACAAAAGAGGGAGAAACAGAGAAGAGAGAGAAAAGCGTATAAAAGAACAGACAAATGGGGGACAAGAGGAGAGCATAAGAAGAAGAAAAAAAAGAGTAGGGGAGCACTTTACTGGATGACAGATAAGGGGAAGGAGTATCAGACTCAGACGGAGCAGCACAACCAAGGCCGGACAGAATCACTTGTCTGCTCCATCAGTCCTGCAGGTACATTTGTCTGCCCGCCTGCCCGTCTGTCCATCTGTCTGTCTGTCTGTCTGTCTGTCTGTCTGTCTGTCTGTCTGTCTGTCTGTCTGTCTGTCTGTCTGTCTGTCTGTTAACTGGTCTGGCTGTGTGAACACTGGCTTGCTCTCATATAAATAAAATTCTAGTTCTGTGGTTGCTCTGGACTGGTTTGGTTGAGCCAGTTTTAGCTGCTGTTCTATTCTAAAATTCTAAGATTGAGTTTCTCTGCTTCTCACGCTTGACTCACTTTATACTACATCTACACTGTAGATGTGTGAGGATCTGAGTGTGTGACTGACTGTGTGAGACTGAAACAATGCCCTCTCTTCTGTACAGTCTGGTGTTGGGAAACAGGGACTGACTCACCAAACACCAGTTCCTGGTTAACTACATAAATCGCTCAGGAATATGTAGGATAATGATGAGCCAAGCACTGTATGACTAATAAGTGCTGAGCGATGGATGACGGGGGTCTTAAAGCCCAACTTTAATCTCTTTAACACCACAAAGACCACTCTGACAACCTTTCAAGCAGTGTGTGTGTGTGTGTGTGATTGTTGAGCTGATTCAGCAAGTGTCTGACTGATTTTAGGATTATGCTGGGGCCGAGTTTACCTTGAGTGAACAAAGACTAGAACAGTATAAGTGTGTATGTGTGTGTATGTGTGTGTGTGTATGGTGCGTGCCAGGTGTGTGTGTGTAGTATGGTCAACAGGGTTACTGAGGGCACAAGGGATATGGTTTCCCCCCATGGAACAGCAGAGGGATCACATTTCCCTGGAGGTGACTCTAGGAAAATATCTCTATTAATATAACGTTCTAATGCTAGAACAAGAACACACTATGCTAATGCTAGCATGAAACCCCCATCAGAGCAGCTGGACCGCTGGGAGGAAAGGCTAAAGCTAATCACATTTACAGCCACTAGCAAGGATGCTATCAATGATCAAATACGTGCAGTACCCTACATACACAACTACTGTAGCCTAGAACGTAAGTATAGATGCTAAACACATTCAGATATAGGCCTACATAACTGCACAAAAAAAGCAAACGTGTTTTGGTGTTTGAAAGTCTGCTAGTTTATGTGTCGGAAACACTGCTAGGCTAGGCTGTGTTATGTACTGTATTATTATGTACTGTATTATTATGTACTGACCTGTACTGTTCTTGTCCAAATACTGGCACATTAATCCCTCATTTATACACGTGTGACGTGTGAAAAGTAAAAATACCCCCCATGACGCACCACACAGAGGTCGCTCCTAAAAGTCACTGCCATTTTGGGACTAACAATTTTGTCACACATCTGGGTCAGTCCGGCTACACACACACCGTATCTACCGCACGCACACTACACACACTACATCTGGGCCAGCCAGTCCTACCAAACACACACACACTCCTGGTCCTGCTCCATCTTAGCAGGCCGGTCCAGCCTGAAAAGGTGAAAGGTCAGAGGGGGGGTAAAAAATGTGCCACAAGATGCATTATTTCTCTGACCCCTAACCCCTGACCCCTGATCCTCCCAGGTCAGTCCAGAAGGTTAGAAACGGCTCTGGCCATAGATACAGTGGGGGAAAAAAAGTATTTAGTCAGCCACCAATTGTGCAATTTCTCCCTCTTAAAAAGATGAGAGAGGCCTGTAAACACAGGTCAAACGTTTTCTGTAAGTCTTCACAAGGTTTTCACACACTGTTGCTGGTATTTTGGCCCATTCCTCCATGCATATCTCTTCTAGAGCAGTGATGTTTTGGGGCTGTCGCTGGGCAACACGGACTTTCAACTCCCTCCAAAGATTTTCTATGGGGTTGAGATCTGGAGACTGGCTAGGCCACTCCAGGACCTTGAAATGCTTCTTACGAAGCCACTCCTTCGTTGCCCGGGTGCTGTGTTTGGGATCATTGTCATGCTGAAAGACCCAGCCACGTTTCATCTTCAATGCCCTTGCTGATGGAAGGAGGTTTTCACTCAAAATCTCACGATACATGGTCCCATTCATTCTTTCCTTTACACGGATCAGTCGTCCTGGTCCCTTTGCAGAAAAACAGCCCCAAAGCATGATGTTTCCACCCCCATGCTTCACAGTAGGTATGATGTTCTTTGGATGCAACTCAGTATTCTTTGTCCTCCAAACACGACGAGTTGAGTTTTTACCAAAAAGTTATATTTTGGTTTCATCTGACCATATGACATTCTCCCAATCCTCTTCTCGATCATCCAAATGCACTCTAGCAAACTTCAGACGGGCCTGGACATGTACTGGCTTAAGCAGGGGGACACGTCTCGCACTGCAGGATTTGAGTCCCTGGCGGCGTAGTGTGTTACTGATGGTAGGCTCTGTTACTTTGGTCCCGGCTCTCTGCAGGTCATTCACTAGGTCCCCCCATGTGGTTCTGGGATTTTTGCTCAGCGTTCTTGTGATCATTTTGACCCCACGGGGTGAGATCTTGCGTGGAGCCCCAGATCGAGGGAGATTATCAGTGGTCTTGTATGTCTTCCATTTCCTAATAATTGCTCCCACAGTTGATTTCTTCAAACCAAGCTGCTTACCTATTGCAGATGCAGTCTTCCCAGCCTGGGCAGGTCTACAATTTTGTTTCTGGTGTCCTTTGACAGCTATTTGGTCTTGGCCATAGTGGAGTTTGGAGTGTGACTGTTTGAGGTTGTGGACAGGTGTCTTTTATACTGATAACAAGTTCAAACAGGTGCCATTAATACAGGTAACGAGTGGAGGACAGAGGAGCCACTTAAATAAGAAGTTACAGGTCTGTGAGAGCCAGAAATCTTGCTTGTTTGTAGGTGACCAAATACTTATTTTCCACCATAATTTGCAAATAAATTCATTAAAAATCCTACAATGTGATTTTCTGGAATTTTTTTTCCTCAATTTGTCTGTCATAGTTGACGTGTACCTATGATGAAAATTACAGGCCTCTCTCATCTTTTTAAGTGGGAGAACTTGCACAATTGGTGGCTGACTAAATACTTTTTTTCCCCACTGTAAGGCTTATAAGTGAATGAGTTCACAGGAGAGAGACACAGGGATCAATGGAAGTGAATGGCCTTAGAGTGGGCCAATACTAAAATAAATTGAGGTGATTGACTGGTTTTAATTGAGATCAATGAAGACGACTGGTTTTAATGGGAATCAAGAGGTGATTGGTTTTGGAGATCAATAGACTGGTTTCAGGATAGAGCTGATTCTGTCTCAGACAGGCACCATGCTTTCACTGACACACACCCACCGAAATTGTCTCTGTAGTACAACATACCCTGTTGCTGTTGTAAATGTATGATAAAATTATGGAATGGTTTTGAGTACTG